GGGAGGGGAGGGGTGTTGTGTTGGAGAAGAAAGCAAGACGTATGAAATACCCACTTCCCGAACCATCCCAGAGGCCTGCTGGCCAAGAGGAGGCACAAGTATGTTTATAAGGATGAACATAGCATTTATTGGGGAACCAGCAGGCCCTTAAGCAAGTATTGTCCCCATCTACCTGGGACCCAGCCACAGGGTGGGCTTCAGGGGTCTGCAACCTTGCAGCCCCATACTTGGTCTGGTGCACTATTGTTGCAGCCTTGAAATTCTTGATAGCTCTTGAACAAGGGGCCCCACATTTTCATTTTGCACCAAGCCTCAAAAATTATGCTACCAGCCCTGTTTCCAAAGGGGCTCACTTGTCTCTGATGGCCCCAAGTTCCTTCTGCAGCCAGAAGGAAGCCTTTTTCTGGACTCCCTTGGTCCAGGAGCTTGGATGTGACGGGTGACCGAGGGATGGGAGCCATCACAGCACCCCTGGCAAGGAGGGACCAACCCAGAAGCCCCTCAGGTATAGCTACTTCTTGGGGAAGAAGCAGAGCCACCCACTCTGGAGGGCCAGGATGTCTGAGTATGCAGAGAGGGGTCGAGGGGCTGGAGGATGGTTCTCTCACTGAAGGGTGGAAGATGGGTGGGCTGGGCAGGTGTAGGCAGCTTAGTTTGGGTGGCTGGCTTTGAAAACCACTGAGATCAAAGGGTTTTGAGGAGAGCTGTATGGTCAGGGGCTGTTTTCCTGTTTGTTACTTTTGAGGCACAGCTTGAGGTCCAGTCCCTGGTTGCCAAAGTCCAGGGGCAACTAGGACCTCCCTCCCTTCCCGCTCCCCCCAGCCTCTTCAGGAGGGAGCCTGGAGAAAGCTTCTAGGACTGTGACGAAGAAAGGAGCCTGAGCTGGGTGCATGGAATCCTGACTATAGTCTCAGCTCTGCACTGAGGTGCCGGGTGACCTTGGACCAATCACTTTGCCCTCTGGGTTCCTGTTTCTTCCTTCTGGACAATAAGGAATCTGTTGTGTATCCTCTCTGAGGTCCTCCCTTCAACCTAACCTGAGACAATGCCAAGTGTGAGAAGATCATTAGCCCAGAAGAAAAATCCAATGAAAATTTGGAGCAGTATTTCTCCCCGAGGCTTTATTTTCCTTTAAAAAAAAAAAAGTCTATCAGTAACAGCTACATTTTCTATGGAAACTGCCTCTTCCTTACTGTATCAATGCCCAAGGTCAGAAGAATTGTTTTTGAGCACGCTTCTTGTAACTTTTCTGTTCTGTGGCTCCCCCAGCATCTGGCACAGAAGGCATAAATCTGTGATAATTATATTTTTAAAAGTCGAACTTTGGAGGACAGGCAAGAAGATCTGCCTTAGTCAGCTGAAGTAGGGGAAGGGAGGAGGGGAAGAAGGGAGTAGGAGAAAATAACATAATTCACAGCCAAGACTGTGGTCCCCTGGGAATGATGACTTGATTAGTCCAGCTACTAAGCAAACAAGTCTAAGAAGACTTAATTTTAAGGGAAAAGTGTGAATTTTGAAAGTACCATAAATGCATTGCTGGATTATGACTATTCTAAGTAAATCACAGAGGTCAACTGGTTCAGCCCTCACACAATACTTGAATCCTAAGCTCCCGGCCTTGTCGCTGCTTGCCCTTTGGCCTTCTGGACCTTGCCTCTCTTGAAGCCATGGGCTCAGCCCTGAGCCTGCCCATAGCAGAGAGGACTGACCACAGTGCAGAGCAGGACCACCTGTCCCTCACCCAAACTCTAGATTAGCTCTTAGTTAGCTGCTGAGTCACTTGGCTGATTCATTAGAATCCATCATCTTTTTGGCAATGCTGCTTTTAAATCATTCTTCCCCCGTATGAACTTTGGCAGTCACGGTTGGGATTTTTAGCCTTGGTTTCTTTTCTTGGGGGGGAA